CTTAACAGTATCATTTTTTTTCTAAGTAGAAGAGGAACCTTTTTATGCGTAGTAGTTTAATTTTTATTCTTTGTTTTATTACTAGTTCAAAAGATGTTTTTATACTTGTAGACTGAAAATTATCAGTTCCAACAACAGGAGTGCCAGTTGAATTGATATGCATTTAAAAGACAACTGCTGTGGCAGAATTTCTATCAAAATCATTGACCTTACTCGAGGTATTAACTACGTCTTTATTCTTAGCTTATTGGCTGAAATATCGTATTCTAAAACTTTTTCAAACATTTGAATTACGGTTTTTCATTGAACATATGACATATCTGTATTTTGATAAGAGACATGTTAACAACTATAACCTCAGTCAGAGTTAGGGTTAAACTTATTTCACATATCCCTTTAGGCTTTAGTTCACAAAATATCACTGAATACTCTAGTATACACCTAAGTCTCGTACAGTGTATGCTCGTAAGACATAAATTCCTGTATAATTAATTGATTATAAATTTAGTTATAAACAACGGAAACGTTTAAAATTAGTACACAATAAAAACATAATTTATTCGCCAGTTCGTAAATAACAGCACTATGGTGAGACAACACAGAGTTTGGATGATACAAACAACAGCTTTCCAGATCACGTTTGAACCAGTTAAAAAAACTCTATCCGTGTTTTAAATTAAAACTGTCATTTAGACAACACACTTCGGTTCAAAGAGACATTCAAGTAAAGCAATAGCTATTTTCTCGATTTTGTAACGAGAGAAACCTGCTAACTCCAGATTTACTATCAGGCGCTATTGTAGGCCTAATTTAAATTCTTTAGTCAGTGTAAAGTTCACGACTTTACATGTTAGACAAGACTTGATTACGTGACTCGCTTCTTTCCAGATTTTGTAAGACTATTGTCTACAGTACTTGATGAAACTACATTCCAGCCAAAATTGTATGATAAACAAGAATTTTACTTTAAACTTTAGTATAATGCTCGTGACAAATGCTTAAAGAAGAAGAAGAATATTGAATAATAAACTCCAATATCAGCCAAAAGCAGACACAACGAAGTTAGAGATCAATACGAAGAGCGATAAACTTATAAGGGTAAATGAAACCAATAAAAATATTTTTTACATGTTTAAAAAATATCTAACAGTTGGTAAATAATATAAAGGATATTTCAAACTGAAACCTGATGGTTTTGGTTAAAACAGTAATGAATGTAAACATTGGCTTTTGATCAAGTTGACCTGGTAAATCTCCAGCTACATGTTTTTTATAACTTTTTCAGTATCAAACAATATTCTGTTGAAAGAGGTGTCGGGTCTACCACCAATATTTAAATCAAATTTATCTAGCTTTTATCATTATCCAAAAACCTCACAATTAAATTCCGAATTTCCGCTAGGTTAAGTCTAGATTGTTCATTATAGTAACTGAAAAACGAAAATTAAAGTTCATGTTCCGAACAGAAAGGATTTAGCCAAGCGAGGCCCAGTGGTTAACATGCCGGACTGTAGAGGTGAGGATGAGGGATTCACTTCCCATTACCTCAAAAAACATTGCGCTCCGCACTATTCAGCCTGACAAGAGTAGCCCAAGAGTTGGCGGATGAGATATTGACTATCTTTCTTCTCATTAGTCTATCACTTTAAAATTAGGAATGGCTAGCGCGGTTAGAAATCGTGCAGCCTTTCGCGAAATTCAACAAAACAAACAGAAATGTTTCTGTTTTCTGAGAAGCACCTGATGTGAGTGCATTGACACGTAGCGCTAACTTTTGTTTTTACAAGTCGTTCAAACATTTGACTAGTCGTTGAGAAGCCTAAAATGCTCAGGATTTATACAATATGTTTTCAAGATTCGTCTTTGGTTGGTGTATAGAACTGGGTCATCGATCCGATTACGGGTGCATTGTCTGATTGACTCCAGTTCTAAAGGCGTAGCTCTCGTGCATCCTCACGTAAGAAACAACAACAAAAAATAAAAGAAGGCAAATGAACGCTTCAAAGAGCAGCGGACTAAGTTTGGAGGAGTATAAATACAAGTCTTTTATCATCAAAGGTTTAGAAGGTATTTTCCCACCTAACCAAACATGGTTCTGAAACAGGTAGGTTCCAATTAATTTCAGCTATAACGTTAATACCTCAAATGTTTCATTACTTTATGAAATATTCATACACATTTCTATCACTAAAAATTCTCACTTTTACCGTTGTCAGTTGTATAAGAGATAGTGGCGTTCTTTCCCACAAAGTATATCATTTCCTACCTTTTACCACTGTAGTTAGTTATATCATTGGCAAGCGTTGTAGCATAGAACCAGCTACTAAATGAATCATATGCATAGACATACGAAAAATGTATAAAGTAAGATATAATAAAAAATCTATGATAAGTTTGTAAAACACTAACCCTAAAATAAAATTTCGAAAACTTCCGTTGAAAAACTATAATTTCAAGAGAACGTACGTTCCTAAAAAAAAAACAACAACACCAAAAATGACAACAACCTTATACCAGCATAAAGAGTTGTACTCTAGTTATGGTGTTCTGTTCATTGTTCATAAAAAAAGTAGAACAGTTATTGTTTCATTTTTCCACGTGTCACATTTGTTCTTTATTGAATTTGATGTCCTTCCTAAAAATCTGACAACAACCAATGTTTGGGTCATTATGTGTTTTGAACTGACGATGCACCTCCATCAATAATAAGTTTCTGTTAAACTGTACAATTAAAATAAAAACAAGAAAGCAACGTCAGATATAATGCTAAAAGTTTAAGCAATTAAAATATAATTTTTATATAGATTTTAGATTCTTTTCGAACCTTATAAAGATATCATTAAGCCCTTTCCTAATGTTTTTGTCACTCCCCTCCCCACAGAGTTTGATCGGTTTGGTTGTCAGTGTTCTATTATTCACTGCACATGCCGACGAAGAAAGCAAGCTCGCCGAAACGAAACACGAACAGTTAGAAGAACTGACGGCTCAAGCTACGGGCTACGACAGTAATGGCAGGGTACAGTTACTTGGTATCCCTATTAGATTAGCAACCAACAGAGGCGGGAGAGGTTCAAGAAACGGTGGTTATGGAGCTGAAGGAGACTACAGCGGCAGTGGTAGTGGAGTTACTGTCTTCGGTGTTGTAAAGGGTAGTCAAGGTTACGATGGTGGTCCTGGGAGTGGTTATGGCAATGAAGGTGGCGGTTATGGCGGTGGCACTGTTGGTGGTGGTGGTGGCTATATTAATGGAGGTAGGGGTCCTGGTGGTGTCACTCTCGTTGGTCTTCCCGGTGGTGGTGGCTACAATAGTGGAGCTGGTGGTCTTGGTGGTGTTACTCTTGTTAGTCCCCCCGGTAGTAGTGGCTACATCAGTGGAGCTGGTGGTCCTACTCTCGTTGGTCATCCTGGTGGCGGTGGCTACAATAGTGGAATCGGTAGTTATAGCAGTAGAGGTGGTGCTCCTGCTGGTGTTGTTTTCGTTGGTGTGCCCGGTGGCGGTAGTTACAGTACTGGAGGCGGTGTTTACGGTGGTGGAAACAGTGGGTATGGTGGTGTACCTCTCCTTATTCCTGCTGGTGGTGGTGGCTCTGGTTACAGTGGTGGAGTTGGTAGCTATGGTGGTGTTGGTACCACTCTTTATGGTCTGGGCGGCGGCGGTGGTGGTGGTATAAAGAGTAATAGAGGCGTTAAAGGTTATAATGGTGGGAATGGTGGATACGGTGGTGGTCCTGGTGGGGCCACTCTCGTTGGCCAGATTGCTAGTGGTGGTAGTGGATACGGTAGCTACGGTGGTGGTTTGGATGGTTCTGCTCTAGTTGGTCAGCTTCCAGGCAGTGGTATTGGATATGGTAAATACGGTGGTGGTTCTGGTGGTTCTGCTCTCGTTGGCCAGCTTCCACACAGTGGTAGTAGATATGGTAAATACGGTGGTGGTTCTGGTGGTTCTGCTCTCGTTGGTCATGATGCCGGTGGTGGTAGTGGATATGATGGTAGAGACAGTGATTATGACGGTAAAAGTAGCGACTACAACAGTGTAGGCGATGGTTATAAAAGTGGAGGTGGTGGAAGTGACAGTCATAGCAGATTAGATGGAGATTACAACAGTGGAAGTTATGGCAATGGTGGTGAAAGTAGTGGTTATGGAAGTGCAAGTAGTATTGATGGTGATAGAAGTAGTCGTGGAAGCAGTATATTTAGAGATGGAAGGAGCAGATACGATGATGAAATCGGGGGCTATGGTGATGGTGGACACAGTAGTGTATTTACTGATGGCAGTAGTGGATATGGCAGCAGATAGGTATGTATATAAATATATACTCTAATATACATGTATTGTAAAAGAAAGGAAAGTAGATTTATCTTTCGACCTGTATGCTTATTAGAAAATTATTCTCAAATTGTATAGTTAGTTACTAAAATGACCTTATTGAAGTTGAATTTTATGACATGTTTTCTGCGTGAAGCTTTGCTAATTTTTTATGTTTATTTTTATTGTAGGTATTCTACAGAGTCTTTTGGGACTTTCGTTCTATAAGACGATCCTTCTCGTCAAGAGCACACCAACCGAGGAGTACTTTTGTTGTATTGTTATATATTGTACATAAAAATCCAGTTAAAATTTTCTTACCTTTTTAGATATGAATAAAATGTTTGGTAATTTTGATTTTTATAGCTCTCTGTTTTATTTTAGACTCTAGTTTGTAACAAGAAATTTAACGACTTATGCTATCTTCCTCTTAATCAGTACCAAAAAAGGTGACCAAAATGACGGACACAAATTAGATACATGTAGCTCTACGGGAGCAATAGGGGATAGGCAAAGGGAGTATGATATTAGGTTTGGAGCGCCATCTAATGAGCATATACGGCATTTGTTAAACTAAGTTATATACTTTTCGAATTGAAACACTAAAGAATAAGTTAACTTTAGATACAAATTTCG